GAGAGGAAGGGTAGGGAGAGTGAAGAAAAGAGAGAAGGGGAGGGAGAAGGTGAGGGTAGAGAGGCAGGGAGGGAGAGGGAAAGATGGAAAGAGAAGATGAAAAGGAGGGAAAGAGAGGGAGAGGAGAGGAAGATAATTAATGCAGAATAGAGAGGAAGGCACAGGAAATGTGGTACGTAATTTATTTAGCAGTGGAAGCGAGGAGGGAGAAGGGGGAGGGGGGGGGAGGTAATTTGGGAGTGGCGGCAGAGGGAGAAGGAGAGGGGAAGGGAGTAAAGGGGGGAGGGGAAAGGGAAGGGGGAGGGGGAGGGGGAGGGGGAGGAAGGAGACACTACCCCCATAATCCTGCCTCCCCCCTCCTCCCCTCCCCTCCCCACCCCTCTCTCCTCCCACAAACCTTCCAGCCATGTTATGTGACGACCTTCGTAGGCGAGTGAGACTGGGTGGTCGTGGGCGGGGTCGTGTGCCCCCCCTCCCCTCCCTCTCCCCCTCTCCCCGTTTTCTCACTCCTTCCAGCGGCGAGGTTGGAGGAGGAGTAGGACGAAAATGCGGATGTCTGCTCTCGATTTTTTTTCTTGTTCCTTATTATCTGTCTGTCTGTCTGTCTGTCTGGTTCTCTCTCTCTCTCTCTCTCTCTCTCTCTCTCCCTCTCTCTCTCTCTCTCTCTCTCTCTCTCTCTCTCTCTCTCTCTCTCTCCTTTCTCGTTGTTCGGTGTTACCCATCCCTCCTTCCCTTCCGCCTCCTCCTTTTCTTTTTCTTCGTACTCTTCCTTCTCCTCCTCTTCTTTTTCTTCGTACTCTTCCTTCTCCTCCTCTTCTTACTACTCTTCCTCCTCCTCCTCCTCTTCTTACTATTCTTCCTCCTCCTCCTCCTCTACCCCCTTCCTTACCCAATCCCTGTTGCCTCACGAGACCGGAAGGACGAGTGAAAAGGAGGAAGGGAGGAAGGAAGGAAGGAAGGAAGGAAGGAAGGAAGGAAGGTGCAAAGAGAGAAAACGAGGAAAATCCCCAAGGAAAACGGAAGGGGAAGAGGGGGAGAGTGGACGGGGGGAGGGGGGGAGAGAAGGGGAGACCTAGAGAAGGGAAGTAAAGGAGGAGGAGGGAGGGAGGGGAGGGGAGGGGATGAGGGGGGGGATGAAAGGTCGTAGGATCCCACTTGGCCGTCGCGTTGTCTTTATCGGTGATGCAATTCGCACAATATTGCAAGCTAGGCGGCCGTGTGTGGCGTGGGCGGGGGGGGGGGGAGTGACGTTGGCGAATCGTTCCATGGACGAGGACGCGGCGGAGGCAAAGGAAGGAAAGGAAAAGGAGGAAGTGGAGGAGGAGGAGGAGAAGGAAGAAGAAGAAGAAGAAGGGGAGGAGGAGGAGGGAGGCTAATAGAGGGAGAGAAAGGAAGAGGGAGAGAGAGGAAGAGAGGAGATAGAGGGAGAGGGAGGCAGACAGGGAGATGCGGAGTTGACGAAAATGATCACCGATTAATTTGTCGTAATTTATGTTTGACCGCGAGGGAATGACGTCACACGTCGGTGAAGAATGGGATCTCTCTCTCTCTCTCTCTCTCTCTCTCTCTCTCTTTCTCTCTCTCTCTCCCTCCCCCTCTCCCCCCCTCCCTCCCTCCCTCCCTTTCTCCCTCTCTCTCTCCCTCTCTCTTTCTCTCTCTCCTTCTCTCTCTACTTCTCTCTCTCCCTCTCCCTCTCCCTCCCTCCCTCTTTCTATTCTTCAACCCTTTCTCTCTCTCTCTCCCTCTTTCTCTTCTTCACCCCTTTCCCTCTCTCTCCGTGTCTCACTCCGCGTCCGTCCTCTCTCTTATCCTTATCGCCTCCCGAAGATAAGGAACTTGTATAAAAGGCTCAAGTTAATAAAACGCTAAGTCGCTGATTCCGCCGCGTCATTGCTCGTCGGTGTTGCCAGGGGGCGGGTCGCGTTGCTCGGTCGCTTCCCTTCGCTCGTTCGGCCCCCGCTGGGTAATGAGGGGGGGGGGGAGCTGTTTATGTTTTGCTGTTGGTGATGTTGTTGTTGTTATTGGTGGTGGTGATGTTGTTGTTTTGCTTTTGTTATCTTGGAGGGTCGTTTGAAATCCGCTTTTTTTTTGTTTTGTTTTATATAGGATTCTCTATTTTTATCTATTTGATTTATTTGTTGTTGTTTTTTTGTTTATGTGAATTGTGATGGCTGTGTGAACTCACTATGTTTCGTGTTTTTGCGTTTGTTTTGGGGCTGTTTGTTTGTTTGTTTGTTTTTGTGTTGTTATCTTTTATTTGTTTATCTTTATTTTTGTGTGATCTATGGATATTTGTTGTTACCTTTGATTTGTTTATTTGTTTTAGATTAATTATTTTTTATGTATTTACTTTGATCTGTAAATGTAGAAGGAAGTAAAAAATCTCTTATTCACACCTGGATTTTTCGGTTGTTCTTCATTAATTTGCATTTAATGAAGTAGATTTTATAGATCGTTAACGTATAGGTAACAGGTGACGTGTGTGGGCGCGAGTCTGCAGGTGATGCGTGGGCGTGAAAGGGTATTTAGTGTTGATTGATGACTGTGATGAAAAGGACGACGGTGTCTGTTTTATTTTTATTATTTATTTATTTATTTGTTTGTTTTATGTATTTATTTGTATATATATATATATATATTTTTTTTTTTTTTGGGGGGGGTATTTTGTGGTGTGTGGATGTGTAAGAAAAATCGGCAAGAAATTAATATGTATATTTATATTCCGTTTTCTTCCCAGTTTGGATCCAAAGATGACTTTTAGGATATTTATCTTTTTTTTCGTGTGCATTTATATCTCATGATTTCCTTTTTTTTTAGTATTTAAGTATAGGACATCATTTTATATCTAATTATTGATTACTCTTTGTTTAAGTTTTTAATAAATGTTTATCATTGTGTATCTAGTTGCTATGAATTACTTTCTGTTAGTGATATTTATCATCATGAGTCACCAACACCATCATAACCACAACCATAGCCACCACCGCCACCATTATCACCACCAGGACGATTATCGTCACCACCACGGCCGTAAATATCATCTCAACACCACCAACCACTACCGGTGTCACCATTACCCCCGCCATCACCACCTTCACCACCGCCACCACCACCACCACCCCTCCCCTGCCACCCCGCTCACCGCCGGCCTCCCCGCAGGGCCTGATGACAACCTTGATGATGCCTAGCGACTACGGCGTGGAGATGTACCTCGGATCCTCCCCGGTCCTCACCTCGGGCTACCTGGGTCAGCCCTTCATCCACGACTACTCCAGACTGCCCCTGCAAGCCGCGTCGCCCCCCTGCCAGGCCAGCCCCCTGCAGGCCAGCCCCCTGCACACCTTCTGGGGCCACAGCGCCGCCACCACCACCAACAACAACAGCAGCTGCAACTTCAACAGCCTCAACAACAACAACAACAGTATCAGTGGTTCCTCGTCGTCGTCCTCTTTGTCTTCCTCGTCCAACAACAACAACTACAACTACAACAACAACAGTCACTTCCCCAGCAGTTTCAGAAGCTCGCTCGACGGCGGCGGCTCTCTCTCGGCCTCGTGCTCCTCCGAGTACAGCCAAGGCCTCTTCTCCAGAAACACTTTCCGGTGAGTGCGGGGGGGAGTTTGGATCGGGCGGGAGTCAGGGGAGTCCTTATTAGTTATTATTAGTTATTATTACTATTATTATTATTATTATTATTATTATTATTATTAAGAGTTTGTTAGTTTTTGCATTGTATCTTGTTTGGTGGGTTAGGCATGGGTTGTTTTGTTTTTTCTGAACGATTGTGACATGAACGAAACCTAACGAATGGGGAGGATTTTCATTATCATTGTTATTATTATTATTATTTATTCAACCACAAACTCACAAACCTCTAAAATAATAATAATAAACCATAAACTCCTCACAAAACCCCAACAAACTTCTTTTTTTTCCCGTGTGTGTGATTATCAGCATTCATTCAACCCCAAACTCAAAACCCCAAAACCTAACGAAGGATTTTCCGCCCTCTCTTCCAACAGGCGGGCGAGCAGTCGGCGATCCCCCCCGAAGAAGGTGGTGGAGACGCCCACGCTCACCCTTCAGCCCATCAAGTCTTGCCTCGTCGCGCGCCAGGAAGACGAGTATGAGGTGAGTGGGAGGAGGAGGAGGAGGAGGAGGAGGAGGAGGAGGAGGAGGAGGAGGAGGAGGAGGAGGATGGAGAGGAAGAGTAGAAGAGTGTGTGAGGGGTGGATGAGAGAGAGAGAGAGAGAGAGAACGAGAACGAGAGATAAAGGGAGAGAGAGAGAGAGAGAAGAAAAAAGCGAGAGATTAAACATGAATTTTAAAGTTCGAAGTTCAACAGCACGTGACATCAATCAATAATACCCTTATCATCAGCCATATCGATCAACCAGTATCTAATACACCCCCCTCTTCTTATCCCCCCCCCCCCCCCCAGGAGGGCGCCATCTCGCCGACCCGGTTAAAAAAGCGCGTGGTGTTCGCGGACGACCAGGGCCACCCACTCACTGAGGTCCGCCTCCTCACAGAGCGCTCCGACTGCCCGCCCAGATGGACCGCGGACTTCCTGGAGCAGGTGAGAGGGCGTGCGGGCGTGCGGGCTCGTACCTACCTGTCTTGTTTGTCTGTGCCTATATCTATCAGTCTGTTCATATATAAGACAGTTAATTAGTCAGTCTGTCTGTCTGTATATCTATCTGCCTATGAATGCGCCCTCACACAACCGTTCGAACCCGCCCACTGACCTCGGCTTCGTCCTCGTTTCCCTTAGGTGACGGGCGGCGCCAAGGCGGAGGCGCTGGCGGACCAGTGGGAGCTCGCCTTCCGGCAGCCGGCCTCGGACTACCTGGGGATGAAGGCCCGCCTGGAGACCAACAACGTTTCGCTCGAGAACGTTTTGGTCAAGGAGTCCGAAGCCAGAGTCACCGGCACGGTTAAGGTGGGTGTGCGGTCTTGTGTTTTTTTCTTTAGTTTTATTTTTTGTCGATCTTCTAAAGATGTGTTTGCATATTCATTTATCTATATGTTTATTTATATTGATGTATTATCTATTTATTTATTTATTCATTTACTGATTTGCTCAGATTTTTGCATATGTCATTCCCGTTCTTTCTCGCGTCGGCACTGTTTCGGCCTTCGCCAGCCACTCATCACGCACTCCCTCTTTCCGCCCACTCTGCCCGAGGACTCACCCCCCCTTCCCCCCGCAGGTCCGCAACCTGTCGTACCACAAGCAGGTGAAGGTGCGCTACACGACCAGCAACTGGCTGGCGCACGACGACGTGTACGCGGACTACGTGCCCTCCGCCGCCACCGCCACGGGCGCCTCCTACGACCTGTACGACACCTTCACGTTCGCGCTGCCGCTGCCGTCGTCCAACCAGGCGGACAAGCTGGAGTTCTGCGTCTGCTACACCTGCAGCGACGTCGAGTACTGGGACAACAACAACAACCAGAACTACGTGCTGGTCTCGTTCCGGCCCAAGGGCGCCAAGCAGCAGGACGCCAAGCCCAGGGACGCCTATCACGTCAGCCTGGACGCGTGGAGCGAGTTCGCGTCGTGGAACCACCTCAGCGTCGACGACTCGCCCTACTGGTGAGGCTCGGCCGCGGGCGCAGGAGGCCAAGGAGAGGGACGGCCGGAAGGGCGTCGGAACGGAGGATGGGCGTGCGAGGGATAGGAGGAGGAGGAGGATGAGGAGGGATATGGGAGGTAAAGGGTGGAGGAGGAGGAGGAAGGAAGGAAGGAAGAAAAAGGAGGAGACGAGAAAAGAAGAATGAGGTGGAGGGAAAAAAACCGTGAATAGAAAGTGTGAATAGATAGACCAGACTAGATTGTCGAGATAGAGAGACTGAAAGAGATTAGAGAAACAGAAGATAGAAAGAGAGAGAGAGCGAGAGAGAAAGTGTTACGTGTCTTCAAGATAGGCCTAGAGGCGACGGCGGAGTATAGGCCTAGGTGAGCAAGAGACGGACAAGGAACGCAGAAGAGAAGGAAAATTGCCCTAGGCCTGTGGTGGTGCTAATTAATGTGTATATATATATAGTTCTGTCGGTGTGTGCATAGAAGAATGAAATTTTAAAAGTGTATCTTCTATATTATATATATACATGTGAATGAATAAACGTATATCTATTTTAGTCCAGTGGAAGAAGCAGAGGCGGAAAATAATGGAAAATATTGAAAGCATTCAGATGTGACTGAAATTTTTCTTTTAGTATGATTATATGTATATATATTTTCGTAAGTGAGGATTACTGTCAAGTGCCTTTTATTGTAAAGGTCTCGGCAGAAAAATTGGAAAATTGAAAAAAAATAAAAAATAAAAAAATATATAGTTATTGGGAAAAAAAGGCGGGGAGGAAAAAATAATAAGGAAAACAATAACGAAACGAGGAAAAGGAAAGAGGAAAAATTAACTACCTGGTTAATCTCAGTGCTGTGGATTATATATATACGTGTTAAGTCTTCCTCATATCCCCCCCCCCCCCCCGCTTACCCTTTCCTAACCCCCTACTCCCCCTCCCCTACCCCCCCACTGTGGGGAAGAAGAGTCAGAAACATGTCTTTCATTCAGTGTTGCCAGAATAAAAAGAAAAGAAAGTGTGAACGTTTTCTTTGGGGGGAAAAATAAATATATATTTGAAAAAAAAAAATAGTGAATCCCTATTTATCCTTCTAATATTCGCACCAACCCCTATCCTCCATCCCCCCCCCCCCCATGCTCTCTCCGATACCAAAACTGGCGTCGAGGAAGCTGTTACCAAGTCAGTGTGGGGTTTAATGAGGATACTAAGGGACGGAGGAGGGGGGGGGGTATCCTACTCATAAATCTCCTCCCCCCCTTTCCCCCTCATTCCCAACCCCCACCCCCCCCTCCCTTACATCTGATTCCTAGCGCCCTACCTTCCTCGCCCTCCTCCTCCTCCTCCTCCTCCTCCTCCTCCTCCTCCTTCTCCTTCCCCCCTTCCTTACCCCCCCTCCCCGATGGAAAGTGGAGGTGGAAATAAACTGGATAAAGCAAAGACAAAGGAAACGAAGAGAGATGAAAGGGAAGACTGAAGAGGGTTTATATATATATATATATTTATATTACGAAAAAAGGGAATGAGAGAAAGAGACAAAATAGAGGAAGGAAGAGAAGAGAAAAGAAGTGAGGTGGAAAAAGCATAATAAGAAAAACAAGAAAAGAGTGAGTGAAAGAGAACGCGAGAAAAAAAAAACGCAGAAGAGAGAAGACGAAGAAGAGAACAAGAAAGGAGAAGAACAGAAAATAGAAAATAAATATGACTTACAAGAAGGAAAAAAAGACAAGAAAGAAAGTAGAAAGGAGGAGGAAGAGAGACAGCGAGGGGAAGAAGATATAGAAAAGAAAACAAGAAGAGAAAGAGACAGCGAATGGAAGGAAAAAAAGGAACGAAAGAAGGAGAAGAGGAAGAAGAAAGAAAAACCTTGAAGATGCTGAAACCGGAAGAGAACCAACTACATTTTTTTGA